CAGGGCTGGCCCTCCGATGACAAAATCACCGTTCTCCCACTCCCTGCTACCTGGATCGTCCGCAAGTCAAGAACCCAGAGTCGAGTCGCCAGGGCGAGTCAGCCACACAATGCTGTCCTCAGACTGTGTCCCCCTCCCCCGTCCCCACTGTCGTTGGCTCCTGGGATCCTGCCCCAACCTCCTAAACGGCTTCACATAAATCAGCTCAGTTACCCCTCCCATCAACCCCCATCTCATAGCCGAGGAAACTGAAGCTCCAGGAAAGGAGGTCACTCGTCCAAGGTCACACACTACGTGAAAGGGGCAAAGCTGGGATGTCTCTCACTCCAGGCACGGTCTGGCTCCCAAGCCCATGTTCCTAACCTCCAGCCCCACGACATGGCTCACAGGACCCCGCCGGGACCGGCTGACCTGGCCATTCCAGTTACAGAGAGCACTCTCAGGACAGACGTCCCTGCGGGAACCTCTGGTGGCCTCCCACTGCACAGGAACTGAGATCTGGTTCATCTCAGCAATGCCCCCTCCTCTGACTTGCTGGCCACACCGGCCTCCTTTGGGATCCTGGGACATGCCAAGCTCTCTCCCACCTTCCAGCCTCACCTCTGCCATCCCCTCTCACTGGCGGGCCTCATTTTTGCATTTTCTCACAGAATCTTCTGGTCCCTCCAAACATGGCACCTCTCCAGAGAGGCCTTCCCTAACCAGCCTATGGGGTCTTTTCTCCCAGTTATTCTCTAGCACGGACCCTGTTCATTCCCTCCACAGAGCCAGCGCAATCAACCTGTGAGTGTGCATTTGCTTCCTCACCTGTCCCCTGCCCCGCCCCGATCTGGAAGCTCCACAGGGGCAGAGCCCAAGTCTGGCTTTAGCTCGCTCTCCCAGCCCGGCTCCCAGCCATGGGCCTCCCATACAGCCCCTGCTCAACGCATAGTTAAATGAATGGATGGATTGCATGAAGGGACTTAGAAATCAGAACACAAGACTAGGCGCATGCAGCACATGATATGGCTACAACTATGTAAATGTCAAGTGCCCACATGGACAAGGCTGGAAAGGAAACCGGAATTTCCCTGAGGATGCCTGGTTGCCTCGAATCTCCTTAGGGCCTTGGGACAATGAGGGACTTTCCCCTACTGTGACTGCACGTGTTACCTGGAAACAGGTAAGACTCCTTCCAGAAGGCTCTGAGGCCACTGCAGGTAGGCACCTGGCTTCTCCTCTAGGCCCGCCTGACCTCGGAGCACTACAGGGGTCTGTCAGGCAGTGGGCCCACTGGTGAACGTGCAGGAGGGGCTTGCCTGGATGGGGTACAGCTCCCTTCATCTGGCCCAAGCAGCCAGCACTGTCTCTCTTACCTCCAAAACAGTGCCATCACACAAGCGATGAACTGGTTTAAATATTTCAGGATGTGTTCCTCAAAACATCGTTAAAGCAGAAAATGCCAACCCCCTGGAGCCCCGCACTTTACCTCACTTATTCAGCAGCTGCGAGGGGACACGGCCAGCGCTCATTCACTGAGCGCCTACTGTGCACCGAGCCAGTGCTGCGGGCTTGACGTGCACCATCTCATTTGATCTCCAACAGCCCTTTGGGCAAGCCTTTTGGAACCATTTCACAGGCAAGGCCGCTGAGCCTCACAAGCATTAAGACACTCAGCATGGTCACAAAGCTGACAGCTTCCAACGACGCCAGGGGCTGCAAAGTCAAATGTCAACGGGCCAGGGTGGCAGAACACAGGCCCCAGCTCTGGGGCTGCCCCCCCAGAGCAGCGGCCGAGCTGACGGGGCGGGGGAGCCCATGATTTGCAACGGTGGCAAGCAATTCAATTAAGAAGAGTTCCCCGAAGTCCCTATCTGTTAGAAGTATTTACAGATGCAGTAACAGGATGTCCTCCCCTGGCTCTAATGCACTGGAGGGGGCTATTTTTAAAAGAGAGCTGGCAGGGCAGATGAAACGAGACTTAGCAAAAGGGTAACAGCTTGTTGAAGCCGACGGCTGGGTACACAGACATTCGTGGTGTTACTTTCTAGAAACGGAAGCTGTTTTTAGTCTGCCCTTCGCATCCCCCTTCCTTTCCCCCTCCTGTGCTCCCTCATTCTTCTCTCCCTCTCTCCCTCCTTTCCTTCCTCCCTCCCTCCCTCTCTCCTTTCTTTCTTTCCTCCCTCCCTTCGTGGCTGCCAGGTCACGGCCTCTGCCCCTGCCACACTCCTCTCCAGTGAAAACAAAGCAGGCTTCAGGCTGGGTCAGCCTGCTTCTCTCTGGAGGGACAACGCCTCTTGGATGCTCCTGTCAGACGCCACCTGCCAGAGCTCACCTGCCACCCCAGCCCAAAGGCAGCAGGCCTGTGACATGGCTCCAGGACTCTTAGGCTGTGGGTTCTTATCAAAGAGTGTGTTTAGTAAACACACTCCCCTCCTCCTGCTGTGCTGAGCCAGCATTCCTTCAAGCCTTTCAGACCATATCACCTTATCACCTTAGATAACAGCTGACAGATCCCGAGAACACAGAACACGTCCCCCTGCGTCAGCTGCCTTAAGCTGGGCAGGGAGACCAAGCGCTGTGCTCCCAGGACGCCTGCCCAGCTTCCCCGACGCCAGGAGGCTTCCTGCACTTTGTACACACAGAAGGCATTTTGTGAAATGCAAAGCACGCTAATTTTTCCCCAGTGGAAGGTGAGAAGCCGCAACATTTAAGAACAATCACCAAAAAAAACAAACCCAATGCGACAACACATGCATATCTTATTCTAGAACCATGTGCTCAGAAAATCCATAATTCCCAGTATTTTCTGCATGGCGTCCTCTTTAGCAAAGACATAATTTGCAATCAGGCGAGGTAAAGACAGACAGCCATTACTTTCTTAATGGCCAACTACCCAAAAAGGCTCAGTTAAGTGATCTCAACTAGCAATCTAATCAATTAAAATTGATAAGTGAAATACTTTTAACCTTTATTTCAGCAGGCCATTCCTAAGGGGAGGAGGGAAGGAATGTGAATTCCCAGCATAAAATTTAATTCCATTTCATGGATGCAAACATTCTTGCTGCCCTGATGGAATGGCCCCCTTTAAAGCAAGCTGTTTCCCTCCCTTTCCTTGAATCAAATCAGAGAAAGACTGGTTTATGGTTCTCTCCAGTCAACTCGATCAATTTAAACCCTTACAGAAATCCCTGTGGCCACTTCTCAAGGGGGGATCGGAGCACAGAGGGGACATGGCTCCCTTGTTCCCTCAAGACAGAGAAGGACAAAAGAGCATAAACAAGAAGGCAAGAAGAATTTAGACAACCAGGTGAAACCCATAACAATCATTCACCGAGCATCTTCCACATGTCAGGCAGTTGCTCCGCCCTTTATATGAACCACTTTGTTCTATTTGCAGGTAACACTGAGCAGTTTCCTGAGCACAGTTATACGCTAGGCACTATGCTCGGTCATACTATATTTCATATTATATTTCACTCAAGTTTCAAGACAACCTCATAATATAAGCAAGGTCATCCCCATTTTACAGGCGAGGAAGTGGAAGCTGTGGGGTTTAATCATCTGCTCATGGGAAGGTAGGGCAGGGCAGGGGTACCTGGCTCAGAAGCCACCCCTTGATGGTCTATATCATGATCGCTGGTCATGCAACTGAAGAGTTTTGTCAAAACTCATTCAATTGTACATTAAAACTTGATGAATTTTATTGGATGTATATTTCAATAAACTGACTTAAAACAACATGGACCCTCTCCTCACCACACACGACAGAGTGGCCGGCTGCTGTCCCTGTCTTCCCAGCTCCCATCTCCTCTTTGTGAGCTTCCTTCGACGCCCCTCCTTCCTCACTCTCAGTCGACGGTTCAAAACGAACAGGTCCCACCTCCCAGCTCCAGGGCCAGGCATGTGACCCTGGTTTAGCCAATCAGGGAATCACATTCCTCTGCCCACTGATTGGTTCAGGGATGGTCATATGACCCAAGCCAGGCCAATGAGAGCCCTGCCGTGGACTTCTAGGAAAGTTACAGAGAAAAAGAAGCTCTGTCTCTGTCAGGGCTGCTCAGCTGGTTCAGCAGATCTTGGAGCTGCTGATGGCTATCTTGTCACTACCTGATGAGAGCCCTCCTGAGGATGAAGCCAGAACAGAGGAAAGCAGAGCTGCAGATGGAGAGTGACAGCTCCCTAATGACACTGCTTGAGTACCTAGATCCAGCCATGCCTGAAAGCAGAACTACTCCTGGACTTTGCAGTGACATCAGCTAATCTCTCTTTCTTTTTTCCCTAAGCCAGCCTATGTAGGGTTTTCTATCTCTTATAACCAGAGTCCTAATAGATCACAATGCCTTTAAGAGACAGAAAACCATCATGCACACCAATGTGCACATGCCCCACAGAGAATGGAGGAAACAGAGAACTATATGAATACGAGAAGGGTTATGGGAACATCACCAAGCTTTATACCCACTGTCTCCTTTAAATCTCAGCCTCATGCTGCAGACAAGAGCACTGTACAGTTAAACAAGCAGCCCCAGGTTACAGGCTAAGCACGTGGTTCTCCAGCCTCCAAATCCTTCATCTCTATCTCAATCCTGGTGATCTGCATTTTTGAAAGCTTTCTTTTTTCAGCAGCAGAATCCTTTAATCATTGGAATCATAGAGAAAACCCTTAATATACAAAACCAGTCAGACTGGTGCTGCTGCGATTACACACAGGGCAGGGACCCTGGAGCTGCGCCCACCTCTGCTTGAGACCCCATCACCCGGCATGGATCGTTCTGCAAACCGCCTGCACGCTCTCCCTGGGCTCCAGCAAGCAGGAGCCATGCACGGACTTCAAGGTGCCCAGAATCGAGCGCCCTTTCTTCGAAGGTTTTGTGGGATATACACACTTTGTCAGCTCACAGTCACGGATCAGGAGCTGCACAAAATGCAGGTCGCACGCCAGCCCTCCCAGGGCCGTGTGAGTCAGCATGGCAGCCCCGTCACCCCCCGTGCCCCATGACTCAGGACGGCCAGCTCACTCAGATCGAGGACGTCGTCAGTCTTGATTAGGTCCTCCTCACGCGTCAGCGGCAGCTGGGTCTCGGGCTCCCCTCGCAGCCGCAGGGACAGGGAGCGGAGCATGAAGAACACCCGGATGGCCTGCACAGACAGTCCAGAGAACAGAGAAGAGGGAGAGGCCGGTCATTTTGGTGAGAAGCTCCATATGGAGGGATCTCACAGTGACTCTCAATGTAAAACAAAGCAAGCAGCAGACAAAACAAAGGCCCCCTCACCCAGGATCGTGATTCTGGGGCTTTCAGCCTTCACCCTGGGGCCGGCTCGCCCTGGTGGCAGCCTCCGATTAAGTCCTAGGTTGGGGCTGACTTGCCCACCAACCAGAGGCCAGGAAGTAGAGGGGCAGTCCACAGGAGGGGCCAGCTCCAGGCCACTTTCCCTGCCTGCCTGCCTGGCGGGCATGCACCTGACGGGAACAGCTCCAGAGTCAGGTAGGGAAGGTGTACGCTGGACTCCCAGGTCCACCATGTTGGGCAAAGCCCTTGGCCTCCGTGGGCTTCATTTTCCTCATCCATGAAATGGGGATGGTAGTTCGTCCCTTGCAGGGCTTCTAGAAGGTTCTGAGATAACAGTGGAGGAGAAGCAGTCAGCACGTGTTCTGTAAAAGGGTGACCATCTTTTTTATTTTTTTCCTTTTTCTTCCAAAGCCCCCCAGTACACACTTGTGTATTTTTTTAGTTGTGGGTCCTTCTAGTTGTGGCATGTGGAACGCCGCCTCAGCATGGCCTGATAAGTGGTGCCACGTCCACACCGAGGATTCGAACTGGGAAACCCTGGGCCGCCGAAGCAGAGCGAGCGAACTTAACCACTCGGCCACGGGGCTGGCGCCTAGGGTGACCATCCTTTACTCCAGTCACTCAACAGGCTCGGCATGGGGGAGGGCAGGGGACAAACCACTGTCGCCATTGGTGAGCCATGCAAAGATGAATTCCAGCCCACTTTTGGGTTGTCTTGTTTACAGTTCTGAGACCTACAGGCCTGGCCTACTGAGAGGGAAGCTGCCCTTTATACAACAAGATACCTCCCAAATCAAGAGGGGGGACAAATTACTGCCTGCAAAGAGCCAGACTTGTGCTGGCCCCTGATGACCCAGGCAACGAGGATGCCCATCGGCACGGCTCAATCCTGCCTTGGCCTGGACCTGGTGGGAGGCCTTGGGCCAATTATTTAATCTCCTAATGAACAAGCCTACCTCCTGGACCTACTCTGTGTCCTATATTACCTTTTGTCAACCATAAGCACTAAAAAAGATAAGCTTTTATTTCATAATGATGATGATGATGGTGGTAGTGGTGGCATTAGTATCAAACTGATTGTTCTTAGTTTTTTAAAGATTTTATTTTTTTCCCTTTTTCTCCCCAAAGCACCCCCGCTACGTAGCTGTATAGTTTTTTTAGTTGTGGGTCCTTCTAGTTGTGCTATGTGGGACGCCACCTCAGCATGGCCTGATGAGCAGCGCCATGTCCGTGCCCAGGATCCGAACCGGTGAAACCCTGGGCCACTGAAGCAGAGCGGGAACTCAGCCACTCGGCTACGGGGCCGGCCCTAGTTTTTTAAAGTACAGTCATGCGTGCTCAATGATGGGGATGCGTTCTGAGAAATGCGTCGTTGGGCGATTTCATCCTTGTGTGAACATTACAGAGAGCACTTACACAAACCTAGACGGCACAGCCCACTGCACACCTAGGCCCTACGGTACTGATCTTACGGGACCCCAGTCATATATGCAGCCATCGTCAACCAAAACATCACTATGCAGCGCATGACGGTACAGTCTTTATAAAGACGTCTGCCACAATCAGAAGAAAAAGAAGTGTAGTTTCATTAGAAAAAATCCAAAACAGCTTTTATTCATTATGCACCTATTGTGCGCGAGGCATTGTGGGCACCTTATTGCAATGTCAAGATGTTACATAGGGAGAACGGAGCTGAGCCGGCAGAGCCAGCTAAGGCCACACAGCTGACGAGGCGGAGCCAGGGGCCGAGCCAAGGAGCATCTGAGACTCATGTCACCTCCCCAAGCACACAGGGACAGCCAAACACCTGCACTAGCCCAAGCGCAGAAAGCCCAGGATGTGGGTGGTCACTTGAACTATCTGGCAGTTTGAGCCCTGAAACAGTCATAACCTCAGACAGGAGGGAAAAAGAAGGAGAAAGGTCCAAGCTGCGTGGATACTCCATTTCTGTGTCCAAAGCCCATTCCTCTTGGGGTTCTGACGGCAAAGCACTCAAGGAGGCCCTGGCCCAGGGATGGGGAGAGAAACGCGCGTGGCTCTCTGCACACCTTCACACCGAAAACCAGAAGCCTTCCAATATCAAAGGAGTTTGGGGTCTGGCTCCTGCCTAGAACTTTTTGGTAAAAGATTGCCTTTTGCTCTGCAAGCAACAAATGAAGCTATTCCCAGGAATACAATAAAATAATAAAAAATAGAATATAGAATATAAAACATACAAAATAAAACCTCTCGATGATACTTTTCCTGGTTCCTGCTCCAACTCGTAAGAGAAGGAAGAGCAAGTGAGAAGCCCACACCCATGAAGGTAGGGGGGCAGAGGCCCACGGGGCCAGGTGCTCCACTGGGGCGACAGCTGGGCTCCCACGGGGGCGTTGATGAGGTCTGGCAGGCAGGTCAACCAGCCCCACAACTCCAAGAATCCACAAAGAAAGGTGAGTTTCCAGGTAAGGGGCATCAAATTCATCCGACCGCCCCCTCAAACAATAGCCACGCCCTCTGCTCACCCACGGCCTGGCGGGTGGAGCCTGAGGAAAGTCCTCTCCTTCAAGCCTTTTAACGACCCTGCATGGTTCCCATTTTACAGACAGGAAACCAAAGCCCAGAGTTGTTAGGCAGCCTGCCCGAGGTGACTCAGTTAGTAACTGGACTCCAAAGTCTGTGTTCTTCCAATCACATGCCTTTGCCTTCTTAACATTTAAGGCTTGGGACTCAGGCTCCCACTGAGTGCCTATCTTTACTCTGCTAAGTAAACACGCACATGAAACAGTATCACTAAAAAGGAAAAAAGAATTATTCTTCTTTCAGATGCTTCCATAGAATGCCAGCAAGACTGATTGTGGAAGAACAGAGTAGATCTGGAAAGGGGTGACAGCTGGTCACGCTCAAACATAGAGACTCGTCTAGTTTGCTTCCATGCCTCAGGGAGCAAACTAGGGCCAGGAGAGTCCTAGGCATGGAGTCCGAGGAGTGGGGCAGGAGGCAGACAGACTTTGGCTGAACCGGCGGTCAGGAGAGTCACGCGAATTCCGAGACCCAGGACTCGAGCTCTGGAAATGGGGTACCCACCACCCCTGATCACGGGGCCACAGTGAAGGCACGAGATAGCGCCGGTGACACTCTGAGCCCTGGGGCTGGCGCTGGATCAGATGCTCAGTTTGGGTCCCCTCTCCCCCTTTCCTTGCCCCATTGGTAAACCGCTGAGTTGAGGTGACAGTCACTTAGGCAAGAAGCCCACCAAGGCTGTGGAAGTGGCTGTGAAAGTCAGTCATTCTTAAAAGAGTGCTGGGAAAAACAGAGACAAACAAACACACAGAGACAGAGATTGGACTGGCGGTTACCAGAGGGCAAGTGGGGAGGGAGGGAGGGGGGTGAAGGGGAGATTAGGAACATGTGTGAGATGATTGATTGTAATTAGCCTTTGGGTGGTGACCATGATATAATCTGCGCGGAAATCAAGACGTGATGAGGTACACCTGAAGTTTATAGCGTTGTAAAACAATGTTACCACGATAAAAAATAAATAAATAAATACATTAGACCATCAAAGAAAAAAGAGAGTGCTGGAGCGGTTTAAGTGGACACAGCCCACTGGGAAAGCAGTCTGGCAACTGCAGAGTCACAAAAACAGGTTCATACCCTTTGATTCAGAAATGCCACTTCTGGAAACTTATCCGAAAGAAATGAGCCAAAAGGAGAGAGAACACTGTTTTCGTGGAGTGCTCATTACAGTTTGGTTAACAATAATGTCACACCGAAGGCGACCAAAATGTCCCCCAGCAGGAAGATGCCCGCGCAAACAGGGCAGGAGTTGCCAGATCCACTTTGATGCACCCGCGAGAAAGCAGACGTATTAAAACTGGATCACGACAGGAAAGCCTCCTGCTCCGCAGTGGAGAGGGCAGTGGGGAGCACGCGAGGCCGTGGTACACTCTCCGGCGACCATCAAAAGATGTGACTGCAAACGAAGAGAGGGAGGAGACACAGAAATGGCTAAGAGTTGTTTGTTTAGGGTGATGAAATCACAGGAAATTCTTTCCCTCCACTTTCGAAACTCGACGAGATGTGATTGTATTTTCTTTAATGCAGAATACACACCTCAAGAGTAAAAGCAAAATATCCTCTTTCCTCAAGGTCAAGAGCCATAAACACAAAAACTCTCTGCGGCTTCACAAGGGACCGGGGAAACAGACGCCGGGACGAAGAAAACTTCACGCGAATGCATCCGTTTCACAATGGCTTCCAACAGTACTGCATAAACATGGCTAGCAGCTTAAATCCACATTTTGATATTCCCCCCAAAATCCTCTCCCTAACCCCCTTTTCTGTGGCTTGCTTCAGTAGATTGAGACCATTACTCTCTTTCTTTCCCACCTAAGATGCTAGAATGCTCCACCGCTGGCCAGCCCACATTTCCCGGGCGCTTGCTGTCTGCCAGGCACTGGGCTCCTCACCTCACAGGCCCTCTCTCTCATCTACTTTGGGCGAGAGATGAGAGGCAGGACACACGAGAGAGGTTAGGCTTAGGGAGGTTAAGTAACTCGCTCAAGGTCACACAGCTGGAGCTGGCCTTGAACCTCGGCTGGTCTGACTCAGGAGTCTGTGTTCTCTCTTAACTGCTTCTCTCAACTGCCCCTACACATGGGGAGGGGCCAGCCCAAGTCCAAGGTTCTGCTTGCACGTTCCCATCACACCCAGTGGTTCCGGTGACCTTCCTTCCAACACGTGTTTCCCTTCTTGGCTGGCAGGGCTCAGCGGCGCTCTGACCATCTTGGTCTTACTCTATATTATTTGTTCACTGTCTCTTCTTGCCTCTTGTACCGTGCCTGGGACCCAGAAAACGCTTAACAAGTATGCCGAATGGAAGAATAAACAGTGTCATTTGCAGAATACAAGAGGAAAGCATGACTGTACTGCCAGAGGCCTCCCCGTGGCCTGCAAGGTGCTGGCCCTCCTCTCTGGCCTGTGCACTCGCTCCGCTCCAGTTCGCCTCTTCCTTGAACACAGCGTTCTCGGTGGCACCCTGGGGCCTCTGCACTCACTATTCCCTCTGTCTGGCAAGTGCCTCCTCTAAGTCTCTGCGTGGCCACTCTTCTCACTCTTCAGGTTTCAGCTCAGAGCAGCTTTTCCCGATGGTTCGACCTGAAGTGGTGCCATCCCTGTTCCCCTCAGAGCCTTTACTGCAGCCTGACATCTAGCTTCGTTCGCTTGCTTGCCAATAACCTTTCCCCCTCCCAATGTCCCGCGAGGTTTGGAAGGCAGAGACGTCAAGCACACCATGGGGCACAGAGGGGGAATCCAGGGGCTCCTGATGAATGTCCGAAGGGATATCTTACAGGTGAGGAAGGATTTATTAGTAAGCGTTGCTCGAACTTCTCTGACGAGTCCTTAAGGAAAATAAAGGGCGGGATTTCTGAAAAGGATCAGCCTCCTGAAAGCTAGAAAAGTCTACTTGGGGCGGGGGGGGGGGGGGGGGGAAGAAAAGCTTTGAATCCAAAAGGATGAAATGGAATGTTCTTTGGATTCAAGCAAAGAACTTGAAACAAACCACAGAAGCCCTCAATTGCTTGCTAAACCATACACTTCCTTTAGCCCGAATTCAAAGCGCCCTGTTGTGCTCTGAAGCCTGAAACGGGTTGGGAGCTAAGCTTCCGGAGGACTCTGGAGGGCTGCCCTGCAACAGGAACTGGGCCGAGGTGAGCGGTCGAAATGCCCCTTCAGAAAGCAATGTTTGAAGTCGCAAAGGGAAGCTTTTCTAAGGTGGCTGGCTTTGCTCTGAGGCGGCCGGCCCTGCTTTCCTCCATTCTGCCACCTTCTCCCTGGCTCTGCACCCACAGATGCTGGAACTGGAGAGCTGCTGTTATACACTGGTCAGACCAGGCTGAACAACAGGCCCCAGGGGTTCTGTCTGGGCTTCGGTTAGCAGTCTGGGCTGCGCATTCCAGCTGGGGCAAGGGAGGTGGGCAGCACGGCCCTGGGAACCGCAACTAAGTGAGAAGTGAGGGGCAAAGGGGAGAAGAGAAGCCCGACCCTCACGAACTGCTACTGCCTCGTGTGTTTCCGCCTTCCCTGAGGCCTCATGAGAACTCCAGCAAGGCAGGCACGTGCTACTTCCCAGATGAAGACAGACCGGCTCGGAAGGGACGGGAAGCCCAAAGCCCTAACAACCATCCCTCTGCCACGCGCCTCACCCTGAATTTCTCCCGTCCTCTCCTGTGGGCCAGGACCATCTGCCCCAAGCCAGGAGGGCGCAAGGCCAGCAATCAGCTAACAAGGCCAAGGTCCTCGCTGGGCTCCAAGGCCCCCAAGATCCGGCTCCTCCAGCCCCTCCAGCCTCATCACTTCCACATAGCCTCCCTCACTCTGGGCTCCAGCCATGGTCCCCTCCTTGGAGATGCCGGAATGTGACACGTCTCTCTGTGCCTCTGCCTACCGCAGCTGCCCAAGCCATCCCCAATTCATGCTCAATGACCACCCCTCTGGTGCCTGCTCCACCCCGCTGCCCAGGTAGGATGAGGGACCTGATCCTATGTTCCCTTAGCAATGGCCCCAGCCACGTGGATGCTGCTGCCTTTTCCCACCTCACCCTCGAGATCTGATTCCCTGAGGCCTGGGGCTGTGTTTTGCATGTCTCCAGTGTCCAGCCCTGAGCGGCAGTGCAGGCAGCAACGAAGGCAGCAGAGGGGACCAGCGGGTCAGAATGGGTGCGAGTTTAGGCTCTGAGGCCACATCACCTGGGCTGAAGCCTGACGCTGTTTACTAGCTGGGTGACCTTGAGCAAATCACTGTGACATCTTCGTGCCTCAGTTTCTTCCTCTGTAAGATGGGGCTAATAATAGTGCCAACCTCCAAGGAAGGCTGTAGAATTACAAGAGGAAATTCATATAAAGAACTCATATGAATGATCCAATTTATAACAAACAATACGAGCTCATGTAAGTGTTAAAAAAACCCTGATGGACAAGGAACCAAAAAAGAAGGGAGGACGCAACCCAGAGAGTCACTCTCAATGTTCACAGCCTTCTAGACCTTCTGGCTCAGAGCCCAAGGAGAACCTCAAGGACAGGGTCCTCTCTGGCCTGGGGACACTGCAGCCTGGCCAGGGTAGAGCTTCACTGTAACCTTGCTGGGAGCATCTCTTAGGCCAACTCTCTTAGCCAAAAGCTAAGGGTGAGCGTGCCCGCCTGATGGAGGAGTCAGCGAGACAACACTCATTGCTCAGAACCAGTCCTCCTGTAAAAGCCACGCCAAGGATGCCCACTGCAAACACTGTCCCCACAGACACACTGTGCGCCTGGCCGCGGGCCCGCAGCGCCAGCCGGGAGGGTGAGGAAGGATGGCAGCGCTGGCTCGTACAGGGCGGGTCCTGTGGTGAGGGCTGCGGGTTTGCTCAGACAGCAGGGAACGCTGGTTGACTTAAGACACAAGGTCCGACTTCCTCTGCCCCACCCAGGCCTCCGAGGCAAAGTCACCAGGTGGGTGGAGGAAAGCCTCTGGTGTGAGGTGGAATCTGCAGGTCACTCCTGCTTCTCAAAATCCAGGAGTTAACCATCTCTGCCTCCCTCGAGACGGGCCGATTAACTGAGAAGGAGATGCAGGCTGCTAACGGGGGCCCGTGAGTGGACTCCTATAATTCATCCACGAACACTCACGTCTCCAGGGAATGATTTTCCAGGAAAAGGTTACGGTGCTTTCTAAGAAAGAAACCGTGATCTGACGAGGGAGATAAAATACCGTGAAGAGCCCAGCGAGACGACTTCAGAACAAAGCGCTGATAACGGAAGCACACTCTCCAGCTGATTCTGAGAACTGCTCCGCTCTTCACACACGTTCTCCAGCAGGCCGGCGAGAGTCACAATTTCACTTGCGTGTGCCTGGTCCCAAGATCACTCAGATACCCTAACAGCACACCACCTCGGGCCACCGGGGCCACCCTGGGCTGAGCTCACACTGCCTCACCTGCATGCATTACTCTGTCGCCCCCACATCCATCACAGAAGTCCGGCCCCCTGGCTGCCCCTCCCAGCGCTCAGGGGCTGGGGCTGTGCTCTGCGCCAGTGGAGGCAGCCTGCATGCAACCGACATCTGATGCCAGACGCGACGGAATTCCAATCCCCACTTTCCCAAGAGCAGCACGTTCTGGAAAGTTCCACCTGGTGGGAGGGTTGAGGAGGTGCTGTTCCTACTGTCGGAACTCGTGTTGGGAGGCAGGCTCTTGACCTGGTCAGAGACCCCTCCCCCCGGCCTGGGAGTGGGCCTGGCGGGCAGCCCCCGGGAGAGGCCGGCTCTGGTGCTCACTCACCCGCCGGGTCTTCTCCACATCGCCGCACGGCAGCCGCTTCACGAAGTCGATGCCCGTCAGCGGTGTGCCCGTCGGGGGCAGCAGGATGGAGGCATCCATCATGAGATACTCCACGTTCATGGGCTTCATCTAGAAGAGAGACATCACAGGAGACCTCATGGGGGAGGGCAGGCGGGAAGGGGCAGGCCTCACGCCTCCCTCTGCAAGGAACAGACGCCCGCAGCGACCTGCATTAGGATGAAGCGAAGCCTCAGGGCGGCCAGACATGGGGGAGAGGCGCCTATTTGTTTTCTAAGTTGCAGATTTTTTCCCCAATTGAAGGACAGCTCAGACACTCTTGAGAAGGTGCCTCCCTGCTACGAAGCTGTGCTCCCTCGGCCTCTCCGCCCCCCGTCCAGCAGGGAGAGGGGCCTCGCAGGGGAGGCCAGGCGCTTCAGGGCGGTTTGTCCTTGCGTGAGCCTGACTGCTGCCTGCCTCCTTTCTGCGTCCAATTATGACGACAACAGTCGCAGTGACGCAGTGACTTCGGCTTCCTGACTTCAGGGCAGGTGGGGAGCTAATGGCTAGCCGTGTACACGCCTCTTTAATCCTCCCAACAACTCCAGAGGGGACGCTTCCCGATCTGCTAATGGGAGACCAGAGGCGCAGAGAAGCCCACTCGGCTGGACGGTGGTGGAACCAGGATGCAGAGCCGGGCCTGCTGGCTCCAGACACCTATGATTTCCACCACACAACCAAGATGCCCCCTCCCTTCCTTGCCCCCTGAGCATCTCCCTTGGGATGATATATCAAAGCCACTTCTAAGCATCTACTAAGTGCCAGGGACCTGCAGGGCTCACCTACCGCTGGATGCGGTGCTGGTGCTAACCCATATTCCAGAGGGGGACACTGAGCTCAGAGGAAGGATACATGGCCACTGGGCCAGACAGCTTTGATGCAGGGCCCTCTGTGGGCACTTCAGCAGTGCCCCAGGGCCTGTCCCCACTTCACTTAGCTTAGCGGCTGGCTTCCTGAAGACTGAGCTGAGGACTGACTTTCAGATACGGGGTCGGGGGTCACCTTAATATTTCTTCAGAGCTCCAGGCATTGTGCAGGACACACAATACACGTGTGATTAAGACAAACAAACTCTGGGAGCTCCCTATGGCGGGAGGGACAGCAACCAAATATTCGTTGAGCACAGATTCTACAGGAAGCATCTCTTAGCTGGTTCACATCCAGCCTGGGCAGCCACGTGGGCCGGGCCCCATTCACAGATGGAGAAACGAAGGCTCAGAACGTAAGCGACCCGCCCAAGGCTGCACAGTCAGTCAGGAGCAAAGCAGAAACTGTGCCGGGATTTAAGAGCCTCAGCTTTTCCACATCGTCAAGTGACAAGGAGCCTACGTTTCCAAACAGGAGAGCGGACTGTGCAGGATGACATTGAGGCGGAGGACATCACGGTAGCCAACCACTGACTCCACTCTGCCCTAGCTAATGATCCAAAGAGGAGACTGCAACACTCTTCTCGGGGGTGGGGGAATAGTGGGGGCTGTGGCCATCAACAAGAACGAGGTGCGCACGGGCAGCCATGCATCACTGCGAGGTGAGTTACGCCAATTTACGCTCTTGCCTTGAAAAGGCTCTGCAGAGGCCTCAGACGTGCCACGAGTGAGGATGTGGCGAGGGCCCAGCTGTGCCGATGCCCGGTGAACGGGCTGGGGAGCCAGGGGCCCACTGAGCGCACCTGGCCTGCCTTTCTCTTTCCGACACTTTAAACACTTAGGTTTATTATAAACTTCCCAAATCACTTCACTCTGGTGAGTAATGTCCATGAAAAAGATTATTTGTCATCTATTTATTGAGTGCCAACTTAGGGGCAGGTGCTGGGGATGCAAAAACAAATGAACAAAACAGAGGGAGCTGCAAGCTTCTGAACCTATCTTTTCGCACGATTCTGCCTGCGGGAGGAGAAAGCGGTCACAGGCTGGGGCTGCAGATTCAAGGAAGAGCTACACGTTGGAACATTCTGGCGGCACGGCAAAGGAGGAGGCAGCATGATATATGCAGAAGGGCGGGGGCTGGGAGGAGAACCGCTCTGCTCTGGAAGCCGGTTCTGCCCCTCATGGCCGGGCAGACGGGGGCACCTCACTCACCCTCTCCGGCTCGCGTTCCCTTCTTGGTCAAAGGAGGGTAATCAGAGCAGCTACCCCCACGGGGCTGATGTGGGGAGTTAGAGATTTAATACGGACTACACGCCTTACACACCTGACATGGAACAGGGCCCCAGTCAAATACTACTCATATCAAAGTGAATCTTTTTTTTCTTTTGAGGAAGATTAGCCCTGAGCTAACATCTGTTGCCAATCCTCCTCTTCTTGCTGAGGAAGACTGGCCCTGAGCTAACATCAGTGCCCATCTTCCTCCATGTGGGACGCCTACCATAGCATGGCTTGACAAGCGGTGCCGTGTCCGCACCCGGGATACAAACTGGTGAACCCTGGGCCGCCGAAGCAGAACGTGCAAACTTAACCGCTGTGCCACCGGGCCGGGCCCACCATCTTCCTCCATTTTTTATATGTGGAACACCTGCCCCAGCATGGCTTGATAAGTGGTACACAGGTCCATGCCTGGGATCCAAACCGACGAACCCGGGGCCACGGAAGCAGAGCACGCAAACTTAACCGCTGTGCCACCAGGCCGGTCCCTCAAAGTGAACCTCTCTGACCCCACTTATGACACACAGGGGGAGTGAATGTCATCTGAAATTTCAGCAGTGGTGGGGATCAATAGGCCCAGCTTTCCATCTGCTTCCCCACCAATCTCTGCCCCCAGTTAGACAGAGTTCTTTCTCGATCAGGCAGGGCAAGCTCCACAGCATACAAGAGCGTTTTGGCCCCTCACTTACCGTCATGCTCCTGTACTCATCTTCAAACATGTCCAAAAAAATTTCTTCTCCCTGAAAAGAAAGAAAGGGAGGGAAGAAATTATGCGTATTTTTTCCACAAACAACAAAGTATTATAAACTCCAGTTCCAGGCTTTGGGGCCATCTGTTTCTCATTAGTGAGTTCTCGTAAATCACCGGGAGGTAAAACACACACGTGAGCAGGAACACACGCTCCGATGAAAGGCCAAATATCAGATTGCACCTCTCGATGGTTTTCTCTTTTATTTAAGCATATGTAGCTGGATTTCTTCTATTAAAGCAACTTCAAAAAACAACAAAAATACTACATATAATTAAAATATAAAAATGGTTAATATTTTCAAGTGTTTAACATCCTCTGCTTTTCGAGAAGGTTGGACAAATGAGGAAGCCTGGTTAAGTTGCCATGCATGTTAAAACTACGAGGCTCCACACCTCTGAAAGGAAGCGTATAATTAAATATGCTTAACACTCAAATTATACAGCTTGTTCCATTCGGTTTTGAGGCACATCTTCGGGGCTTTGTACTTCCTCAGGGCTGTGACCCTGCCCTGGAGGCCCTTCTCAGAACAGGCTGGTGGGCACAAACTTGGCTCCAAGTCACATGAACCAGGGGCTGAATCCCAGCTTTAACCGCTCGAAGCCTTTCTTTGTTTCGCTGCCAGAGTGGGACGACAGCCCCCATCTGTGCAGGTCACCATGAAGATGAAATGAGATACTGCGCACAAAGTGCCGAGCACAGAGCCTGCTACTCGGGTGGGGCTGGTCAAGGTTAGCGCTCGTGCGCATTCTGATCACTACGGACGGGACCATAGCTGGGGGGGCGGGGAGATGCAGCCAAATGCGTCATGACTGTTAGAACCGTCCTGTCTCTCTCATAGGTCCTGAATCTCTCTCTCACACACACAGTCTGGCTGGGAAAAGGAATAGGTCCTTTATATATTTTTCCAGTTATCGGAACTACAGATAAACTTGAATTTTCTTGCATGGTGTAAATATCATGCTATAACCACAGCAAGAACCCCTGAAAACCCAAAAGCTTCTGAGCTATGACACTTAGGGTGTAAATCTTAGAGGATGAGAGAGAGTCGGGCTGGGAGAAGGGAGCTGCGACTGAAATACAGCTCTCCTTTTGTTAATGATAAAGAAAAACCTTCAAGGAAAATGCCCACCTATACGTCTTTCTGTTTTTTCAATCCAAAAGCTTTCTAGGGGGGAAATAAACTGAGAGCAGTTATACTGGAAAGAGATTCAGAGATGACTAACGCAACCGTGAGGTCTTTGCTTTCTTCTGGGCTTTGCTGGAGGACGTGTACCCTCACTTAGAGGCCAGGTGTGGTTCAGGGTGGTCCCGGGGGGAGACCTCCCCAGTGCATGGGGGCCCTTGGTGCTGCCACCCTCATCTGGGCATGTGCCCTGTGTTGCAGCTGCATGAGGTCATCTGAGACTGGAGAGGTGCGTTTCCAAATTATGTGACCTGGTTTTATCTCAATGAACACTGACAATAATGGACACTGGCTTAAAAAGCGTCCTGAAAGAAAAAGATTCCTGTGCAAATGTGTATTTAATTCACAGCAGTCTAGAAAGAATACAGGTAACGGAAGCGCAGGTGAACAAGATGAAAACGGCAGCAGCAGCTCCCTTCCTCCTCCTGAGAGGATCTCTTTATCAGACAGATCACAAGGGGAAACTGCCACCAGCTGGACCTAGAGAGATCTGCTATGGAAGTCAAAAACTTAGAAAACTCCAAGGCATGATATATGGGGTAATCCACTGTTGTTGACAAAGGACGAGCCCTGCCTACAAGTATATTATGCCTTAAGATGAGAGCTAAACAAACCATCACAATGAGATATTTTTAAAATTAATCATCAGGGCTGGCCCCGTGGCCAAGTGGTTAAGTTCGTGCACTCCACTTCAGTGGCCCAGGGTTTTGCCAGTTCAGATCCTGGGTATGGACCTAGCACCGCTCATCAGGCCATGCTGAGGCGGAGTCCCACATAGCACAACCAGGACCACAACTAGAATATACAACTAATGTGCTGGGGGGCTTTGGGGAGGAAAAGAAAAGAGGAAGATTGGCAACAGATGTTAGCTCAAGGCCAATCTTTAAAGAAAAATGAGTCATCTGGAACCTGAAGACATACCTACAAATTTTTCAGATACTGAAATCCTGGTGGTCCTTTAGAAAATCTCACTAAATCTAAGGGTAAATGTTGAGAAGCCTGTGTTAAGGCTCCTTAGCAAACAGGTATATACAAAATATACATGTATATAATTCAGAAATTCCCATGTAATTCAAAAGTAATTTTATATGTATAAACATATATAATTCATGAACGTAAGTTCATATGTATAACTTAGTTATTTGCATATATGTAAATATTTCATGATTTACATGTAAATTCATCAATAAACAAACATGCATAATTGATAAACTGTCATATACAAGAGGTGAGTCCTCAAAAGTTGTACTAAGGAGAGAGCGCAGCAGAGAAGAGCAGAGACCACTGCCTGGAGATCACAGACGCGGGCATTTTTATCAGGAACCACAGGTATGACAAACAGCTGAAGACGTGACCTTTGCGTGCACAGGGCACCCAAGACAACCCTGTTTACTCGGTGCACTCCCCTCCACTAATGGCCCATGCGTGGCCCGCTCACCTTATAAAAGTGCCGCACCAGGTGGACGCTTTCTTCTCTTGCGCCCTGTTGAAAGAGAACGAAGGTGTGACGGAGGCAGGCCTCCTGGAGGTGAGGGCGCCAGGTGAGTCACGAATCCTCAAATCCGAGGGTACATAAGACAGACGCAGGGCTGATACCTTAATCTGTGAAGTGGTTTTTTAATGAGGGGGGAGGGTGGGAGATCTCAAAACAGAAATGGAGACGGACAGGCATTCGATGTGATGACACGGAAAGTTAATATACAGTGAAGTGGGAGAAATGGGCTATAAAATACGGCCATTATGACTCCATTTTTATTTTAAAAAATGTGCGAGTGTATGTGTCTATCTGGAAAGACACACCCAAAGTGTTACTTTTTACCTTTCTGTATTGCCTACATTTTCTAAGATAAAAGTGGAAAGTAAGGTGAAAAACAATTTAAAACAAAGAACGTATATATAAGCACAATAAACTATAATACAATAAACTTGTAATACAAAAGAAAAATTGAAAAATCCTAGACACAAGTACGGAGCCAAATCATTACAACAGAAACTTCTGTGATTCACTAGGTGCCCCCACAGAGCCACTCGCAGCAGAAGGGCAGTTCCGCTAGGGCTCTGGTCTGGAGGCAGCTGCTTCCCCCGCACCGACCTGCTCCAACTCTCTCGGCCTAGGCAGCAGCAGGGAGGCCCTCACCTCCAGGCAGGCCAGGTGCACGTCCTTTATGATGCAGCCTGTGCTGGTCACCACTTGCTGCTTTAGGAGCAGGCAGCTCAGCTCCAGCGTCGCCAGTCGGATCTTCCCGTCTGCAGAGCACACCAAGGTCAGCCTCGCACACCTGGGGCTGCACGCCCTTCAACTCAGTCTCCTGCCTTGCCCACGTGGAGGTTAACAAGTCAGCTAGCTGGCCGACTACATGAGGCCCCCTGACATCCAATGGGGACACAGAGGGAACCCCCTATGCCAACCCCCTTCCCAATCAGCTTCCATAGAATGTTCCCATCAAAACTGCCCATGCCGAATACTCCCCACGGTCCCTTTATCGGGGGGAGAGGTAGGAAAGAGGGTAATGAATGATTCTAGAAGGCCTAGAAAGTGGCCGTCTGAGGTCCCTTCGCTTGTCCAGCATTCTTTCCCCTTCAGGGATGGGCACCCCCACTTTCCTTAGGAGAACCACAGCCCCACTCCTGGTCATGTGACTTGGGTGGAGCTGGTCCCAGGGATGGGCACATCACCCAGGCTGCTCAGGGGGCTCCCATCCCCAGGTAACAGCGATCGGATGGAGGGTGGGCAAGGGAGCCAGGCAGCAGTAAGGCTCAACTCCACAGCCTGCTAGAACCCGGGCAAGAGAATCTCTCCTGTGTGGGCTGCGGAGAGGACAGGGGCAGTAGCGGGCCCTGAGTGGCCCGAGCAGGATAACCCACAGTGGCCCCTGCCCCACCCACGCTGGTGTTTTCAATCTTTGGCGAAGCATTCTGCAAACGGGGCCCTGAGTCCGCCATTCCCCCACCCCCCCGATTGCCCAGGTGTCTCCCCCTTAGCAAGTCCAGAGCCCAGCAGAGAAAGGGGAGGCGGGAGCTGCTGGCAGATATCCTGCCAAGTCAGAAGGCTGCAGAATCCAAGGAAAGTCTTAAAAACATTGCTCGAGCCCCTGGATCTGGCTGGGCCTCAAGCCGTGGCCCAACAGACAAAGTTACACAAGCCAACAGTTTTGTTTGTTTGTGTTTGTCTTGTTTCAGGGAGCCTGAGCTGGGTTTCTGTAACTGCAACCGAGCTCTGACTGACACAGCCCACTCTCTCCTGTGAGCCAGGCTCGGTCTGGGCGCTTCACAGACGCTCCCCCAAGGAGTGTCTATAAAAAGCCCTCGTAACGGGGGCTCCGAAGACTGAGGTTTAGAAAAGTGCAGTGACCTGTCCAAAGTCCTACCCTGGGCAGAGGTGGACTGCAGGCGCTCTGAATGCCAAACCCATGTCTGGCGCGGCTCCTAGAAGCATCTGCGACGGCCCGGCCAAAGGGCAGCCTGCTCTTGCACACACTCCTCCTGGGGCTTGAAGCTCACTTCTGGGGAGATGTCTCAATGTGGAAGTAGGGGCCAGGAAAGGGGAAGTCTCCAGGCCACACCTCTGGGGGGCCAGAATGGGTCCCTGGGAGAAAACTGGAGGCAGGAGCCCCAGCCACAGCTCCCTGCCCGTCCTTTCATAAATGCCTCCCTGTCCGATGGGGAACAGATGAGGAGACAGGCTGGATCTGCTTAAAAGTCAATAGGCTATACACAAGCAAAACCAGGGCTTCCTGAGCATGACAAAGGGGCCACCCAGAGAAAGGCTGCTTAGTCTCAGTCAGTGGCTCTCCCTGCCCCAGCAGGCCCAGCGCTGACATCCTCTGTGCTGCCGCCCGACCCCGCGGCTCCCGCCTGCCTGCCCTGTTCCCAGAACCACTGCTGGCCGGGTCAGAAACACCCCTGCTGCTGCCTGCAGGGAAGCAGGACGTGATTTTCCACAGGACCCTTCTTCCTCTGCGAGCTCCTGCCAAGGAGCTGACCTTCTCCCCTGGCCCCGCCTCTTGAGGGGAACGGAGGGAACAGCAAGCCCCTGAGTCCTCATCACAGCTTCCAGACTGTCCCTCTGAGCTGCCGCAACCTCTCCTCGGAAATCCAAACTGTCCTATACACCAGCTCCCAAGGGGCTCAGTCCCTCCCCACCCTGCAGGTTCCTCTCCCAACATCCAGCTCACACCCCACCTTCCTTGATCACTGAGCCACGTCCGCTCACACAGCTCCTGCCAATCACCCGCCAGCTACCATCTTCGGGCCACGCTCTGCCTCCCCAGACTGGACGTCTCAGCAGAGCCTGACCCTGCCCAGCACCCCTTGGTCGTGAGCCACACACATCTCTCTTGCCGGCCAAAGCAGCCTCCTCCCCCGCTTCTTCCTCTGTGGCGCCTGGTGCATTCTCCCATGCTGGCTCCCCTCTACGTCACCTCTAGCTATCTGTAGTGGCCCAGGGCTTGGTCCTAGACACGCCTCCCCTCTCTCCTGCGGCTTTAAAAACCAGCCACATGTCTGTGAGTCCCGCAGGGTCAGTTCAGCCTGAGCAGTTCAGGCTCTGAGCTCTAGATTCCATCTCCATGCGGAGTCCCAGACGGTGAGGACTTCACAGACGCCCAGCTGCGCTCCTGGAAGGCAGGAGCCAGGTCTGTCCTGCACTCACCACTCGCACACAGTGGCTGGCACGCAGGAGGCGCTCAAGAAACACGTGTCGAGTTTACTGATGCCCTGTTGACCCCCTTGAGGCCACGGACCTGGCTCTCCAAGGCCCTGCACTCACTCCCGGGCAGTCACACTGTGCTTCCGGCCACCGCTTGACTTGTGGAGTCCTCGTCTGCAATCACAACCCCCGCCCTGCCCCTCTCCTGAGCCGACCTGGGGCCGCCCCTGGATTGCTCCTGATTGCACAGCTCAGCGGCTCCCTCTGGACCAGGCTGCATCACTGCCCTTCCCTACACACTCACTCGCACTCCCACAGCCTCTCTCCCTGCCTTACAATCAGGGTTTCTCAACCCCAGCAGTGCTCAACCCCAGACGTTTTGGGCCAGATAACCCTTTGTTGTGGGGCTGTCCTGTGCATTGTAGGATGTTTAGCAGCATCTCTGGCCTCCACCCACTAGATGCCAGTAGAACCATCTACCTAAGTTGTGACAACCAAAAACGTTTCTGGACATTGCCAAATATCCCTTGGGGGGCAAAGCTGCTCTCAGTTGAGACCCCCTGTGAGAGGTCATCCCACCTGCCATCTCTAGCCCTTGCTGGGGCTGCAGATCAGTGTTGGCCAAAGCCTCAGAGCTAGGCTGGCAAGTGCCAGGCACTGGGCACATCTCATATTATCAAGAGTCCCCGCTCCAAACCTTCCAACCCTCCCCCTGGCTCACACTCTCAGCCTCATTCGTGCTCAAAGGTGGCCTCGGGCCACCCAAGAGGAGGGCCGCACACATTGACAATACTGGCAGAAGGGTTTGGTGTGGAAGGAAAGGAAAGACAGGGTCTGGCCCAAATACCATGGGTGGGGAAAGAGGGGAGACCCGGACATGAAGACCTAGCTGCAGTGGGCAGGCAAGCATGGGTGGCACAGACGTGAGTGTGCGTGGCAGGGGGGACTGGCCGAGATCTGCCTGGCTTCCGAGAACCAGGGCTCCTGGCGCCCAGCGTGGGTGTCTGGTCCCTCTAAACGCCACCGCCCCTGTGAACAGCCAGCAGCCCCAGGCACCTGGCTGGGCAGCATTGTTCATGATCCTGATGAGTCTTTCGGTGAGTAGATGGTTGTAAGTGGTCTTCTCGGCTGCGGTGGGCACGGGTAGCTGGATTCGCTCTAGTTTTTCAGGATCCATGCCTGGAACGGAGAAAGGAGCAAGCTGTAAGAGGAGCTGCCTTATTGAGAACCTCCTCATGAGGAAGGGGCCCTCAGGGTGGGGCTCCCTCGACCTCAGCCATCCATGGTCCATCTTCGTGATTTCTGCCACAACTTGTCGCTGCCTGTACTGTAACTTACCTTGGAGTTTTCCGTAAATGGAATTTAAGTAAATATATTAAAACATGCATTTTCTATCACTATCTCTAAACAGGAAATCAGCATTGCTGCAATGTTGACAGTAACTGTAAAAAAAAAAAAAAGAAAAGAAAAAGAAAGAAAACCAAACCAAACAATGTTCTTACATTTTAGCCAAAGACTGTTGACCAGCTATTCACTGTGACCCAAGAACTGCTCTGTCTGGGTTAAAAAAGGAGATTGGCAGTCACTTAACATGTTGGTGCGGAAGACACATTAGCCCCAAACGGTGACGTGCTCCTGGACATAATCAGAGGGACTGGAATGGGAAAAGAAATAGAACTTCTGCGTGGTATGCTTCACTGCAATTTCATGCCATCTGAGGCCACTCCTTTATTAGACACATTCCACAATGAGGGCAACACAGACCTAGAGACACAGAGACCCGAGAGAAAGGAAACTACAGTCAGACCCAACAATCACACCTCAAGCTCTTAACACCAGACTCTGAGAGCTGGGCCCAGCATTCAACCAAGTCAGAGGGCAGCAGGTGCTGTGCTGGGCAACGGGGTGGCATTCGCAGAAAGGGACCGGGCTAACCCTTCTTGCAGAAAGGTGCAAAGACAATGCAACCAGGAGAGCAGATCTATCTTTCAGAGGCAAAGGAATTGCTTTTCTTCTAGCGAAAACCAACAGCATGAAGGAGCAGAGAGGGGAGAGGTGGTTGTGAAGGAAAGACGGAGTGGGCCCAGTCTGTGAACACAGGGTCGTTTTTCCTAAAGCGGGCCTGGGGGCCACAGGACGCCTGCTGGGGCCATGGCACAGGCCAGGTGTGGGCCAAGAGGGGTTCCAAATCCACAGGCTCTCATCCGACAAAGCTCTGGAGAAACACACTTGCAGAAATAAACACTTCGCTCGGTCCAAGCCTGGAGAGCTGAACGGGTTGTTTGTGCTTAAAGCACGTCTTTTCCTGTTATTCTACAAAAGGGGGGACGGTGGCACTTCTCGGAACTCTTGAAATACGGCCCCTTGAGTACTCGATGACGCTTCATTTAGAACGTTGACAAACCAGCGGAGGATAGCACTGAAGAGCTGATTCTCTGGATTCTGAGTAACTCCTACACACACGTTGACGTCATAAACCATAACAATATATCTTGCTTTATTGAATTCCTTCCAGCTCCGAACCAGAGGCTAAGTCATGCCAAGGAGAGGACGCGGGAGAGGGACGGCCTGAGGGCCTGAGTTGGGTAGGTCTCTTTCTCACACCCCACTAACGTGGCTTCGTCGAAAAATCGGATTGCAAAGAAAATTTAATTTGTGGATTCTCTGTCCCATTTTGAGCTGAAATGTCTAACTTGGAAGTATTACACGGCAAGAAGAACAGGAGCTGAATCTTTCTGGCATTTGGTTTTTCCAGAGATGTCAATGCTGTCTTAACATCTCTCGGTTCTTTCATTTCTGGCCCTCTGGGAACTGTCAGTCAGTGGTTCTGGGAAAAAAATGGCTCCTCAGCCTGCCTGGTGTATCGCCAGGTGTCCCGACCCGGCCCTCTGTCGCCCACTTCAGAGGACAGCACAAGGGGCCGAGCTGCTGGCTCCCTTGGGAACGTGGCGGTGGCCGGCGGCACCAAGGAGAGACGGACTCAGAGCAGTTCTTCATTTCCACAGGGAGCTCCACTTTGTCTCTTTCCTATTATTGTTCCCTACTCCCTTAGAATTTTCCAAAGTGAGGAAATCTGTGGCGAAACTTTCTCTCAAAAGGAAGGAAAACGCTCAGTGGTTATCCTGACCTTCCTCAATGGGGCCTCCACTCTCTGTGAAATGAGGGGCCCCGGAGGATGCAAACATCTGGAGAGCTTCACAGGACAGATTCCAGTTCAACCTCTTCCTTTAGTGAAGAAATTAAGGCACAGAGATGTGAGGTCACATCCCCAAGGTCACAGAGCAAGTCAGAGGCACAGTTAGAACTAGGATAATTCCAGAGGTGGACAGGACCCAGATGGCGAGGGGGTGGTACCACCAACCGGGTGAGCCGACCATGGCAAGCAGCGTGCAAGGGCCTGCCCTCCAAGCTGGCAGCGGCCACCACCTCAGGCCTCCTTGTGCCACTGGGCTCCCTCTCTCCCAGGGAACCTTCCACGCTGTGGTGGGGGTGGAGGAGAAGTGAGCTGGGCGTGGGAGGAATTTTGTTTTGATACTTGATCCCCTTTGACCCTCGGTCTCCTCACCTGTGCAATGGGAACAATGACGGTTAAGTGCCCGTCCCATGGGTGGCGTCAGGATCCAGAGGGAAGAAGCGCGTCAGGGCTCAAAAACTGTTACCTGTTGTTATTATGCACTGACGGGAGTCCTTTATTGTCCTTTAAGCATGGCTTACTGTATTTCTATAAGGTTTGTGTTACAAGAGGGAAGAAAAGAACAAAAGGACCAGAAGGAAGACAAGCTAAGCAAAGCTAAAATCGAGCTAAGAGGAAGGCACGCTGAGCCCTCCGGGAGCAGCTCCAGGGACAAGCTGCTCTGGCTGGGTTCTGAAGGGTGAGCGGGAGTTTGCACTGAGCTGCACAGGGCGACCCAGAACTTGGTGGGCCTAGGGGGGACTAGCAGGAGTGTGGGAGACCCCGGGCAGGGTGGGGGTCTCTGGGAGGAAACGATGAGGGAGACACGGGGCAGAAGGGACAGGCAAGGCTCGAATGCCAGGACTCCTGGAGAGCGGCTAGCGGGAGGTGACACAATCTGGTCGTACGCGCTCTGGCCTCCATTCCCCTGGCCACTCGAGGTGATCTCCGCGCTTCCAGCACTTTTCCCCAAACAGACTCAGTATTGCAAGGCATTCTATGTGAGGTGGATTTTACCACCAGCCACAGGGAGACAGAGAGCAGGGTCGATCCCACACGCCACAGGCAAAACTTTGTAAAAAGCCCCTTCGCACATCTCCGTTCTTTCCCCGAAGTTCCTCCCAGGCAGGTGCCACATTTTCTCTCCCGTGTCTCTCTCTTTCACCCACCACGGCCTCTAAAACCCCCTCTGTTACTCTGAATTATCCGACTCTGGCTCCAGACATTCTTCTGGGTCCAAACAAAACGGAGGATGACAGTTGTGAATGAATCAGGTCAGTGTCACGACACGAGAAGGCTATGCATGTGAAGGGAAAACGGCACACACGTGCATGCACGGACATGGACACACACAAGTTTTCAGTCACTGAAATGAAGGTTTTGTTGCAAGCCCAGTTGTTTCTTTGCTAGCCATTTCCCTCTGACTGAAATAAACACGGCAGATAATATAATTGGCCTATTTGCTTCAACCCTTAAGTACCGAGTGTCAGACAAATTCCAAAGAAACCCAGATGGACTTCACATGGCCCGGAGAGACACATAAGCAAGTTCCGTCTTCCAGGAGACCACATGCTTCCTCGCTCCCTTCCCGCTGGGGTCAGATTCTGCTCTGCCCAAATGAGTCAGACCGTGTGTCCCCTGTCCATCGCTTCTACTTGCCCTTGGGGGCAAGGCAGGGGTGGAATTCCAACTGATTAACTCAAAGAACCCAAAATAGAAGGGAAGGGTGTGGCTCTGAGATGTCAGTAACCAGTTACTAAGCTTCTCCTCTAAGTTCTGATTTCTGGATTCTTCCTCCTTAGCAGTTGCCCCCATTCAGGATTGGGGTGGAAGAGATCCAGACCACAGATACATAAAAAGAAGCAGACAGACAAACCTGGATAAAGAGACCACAATAGGGCCAAGTAAATAACAGTCAACATTAATTTTTTCTTTTGACTATGGAAGGCCTCCTTGGCTGTGGTCACACAAGCATCGCCAGCTTTGGAAAACTATACACCAACTATTTCGAAAGCCAACCAGATGTTGGGCCAATTTCCAATGTATTTCCAGTTCTGATTCTGTGTCAGTCGAGATCCAAAATGATGTTTTGCCAGCTCTCTGCATGGCCAGAGCCTCCTTTCACTAAGTACCTTTCAACCTTTCTCAAACTTCTCATCGGTGTTCCAGTAACTTCTCAGCAAAACAAAAAGCCCAAGATTTCTCTTGGGTAAACAGTGATAAATGGAGGAAGCAGGAGCGGAAGGGAGCGGGGAACCTTTAAGAATACAAAAGCTGTAAAACTCACCCCCCTCCCTTGGGCCAGGGCTCTGCAGACTTGACAAAGGAGAGGAGGCTGCATTTTCTATTACAGATAGGAACCAGAATTCATTATGTGGCCCAAGTGAATCACGATGAGCACCTTCCTCCAACCAGTCAACCCTTTCCACTGTGCGATATTCATTTCGGTGCAGCCTCTAATCTATTATGATTTACTGGAAGGCCTGAGCTAACATTTGGTTTTTATTAACATTGCTTTTATGTTAAAATTGTCTTATGATAAAAAAAATCTATCAGAAAGAGACTGTTTCATTAGGGGCCCTGCTTGGAGGGTACTGATCTGGAAAGAGAGGCTGAAGGTTCAGTGCAGCTAACCGCCTGCTGCCTAACCAAAAACCAACCAGCCAAACCCACCACAAACCCCCACCAAATGCAGACCTTGTGCCCAGAGGCCAGGACTGGAGCATAAACTAGGCGGCAGCTCCCTGGCTATGCAGCCTCCCTTGGGGGCCCCCCAAGCTCCTGGGCCTCAGGGTACCAAACTCGAACTATCCAGTTTCCTCTCCAAACCAGCTCCGTGGCCCACGCTCACCAGTTCCGGAAATGCCATCACCAGCTGCACAGTGACGGAAGTCAGGGACGGGGGCATCACCCAGATTCCTGCTTTGCAGCCCCCTCCCATCCAACTCAGGCAGATCTCCTGCCTCAGCCTGCTCCTCTCCTTGTCTCTCATCTTAGTAGAATGGCC